GCTGATGTGTGGTTATGCTGATGTGTGGTTATGCTGATGTGTGGTTATGCTGATGTGTGGTTATGCTGATGTGTGGTTATGCTGATGTGTGGTTATGCTGATGTGTGGTTATGCTGATGTGTGGTTATGCTGATGTGTGGTTATGCTGATGCGTGGTCATGCTGATGTGTGGTCATGCTGATGTGTGGTTATGCTGATGTGTGGTTATGCTGATGTGTGGTTATGCTGATGTGTGGTTATGCTGATGCGTGGTCATGGTGATGTGTGGTCATGCTGATGTGTGGTTATGCTGATGTGTGGTTATGCTGATGTGTGGTTATGCTGATGTGTGGTTATGCTGATGTGTGGTTATGCTGATGTGTGGTTATGCTGATGTGTGGTTATGCTGATGTGTGGTTGATGTGTGGTTATGCTGATGTGTGGTCATGCTGATGTGTGGTCATGCTGATGTGTGGTCATGCTGATGTGTGGTTATGCTGATGTGTGGTTATGCTGATGTGTGGTTATGCTGATGTGTGGTTATGCTGATGTGTGGTTATGCTGATGTGTGGTTATGCTGATGTGTGGTTATGCTGATGTGTGGTTATGCTGATGTGTGGTTATGCTGATGTGTGGTGATGCTGATGTGTGGTTATGCTGATGTGTGGTTATGCTGATGTGTGGTTATGCTGATGTGTGGTTATGCTGATGTGTGGTTATGCTGATGTGTGGTTATGCTGATGTGTGGTTATGCTGATGTGTGGTTATGCTGATGTGTGGTTATGCTGATGTGTGGTTATGCTGATGTGTGGTTATGCTGATGTGTGGTTATGCTGATGTGTGGTTATGCTGATGTGTGGTTATGCTGATGCGTGGTCATGCTGATGTGTGGTCATGCTGATGTGTGGTTATGCTGATGTGTGGTTATGCTGATGTGTGGTTATGCTGATGTGTGGTTATGCTGATGTGTGGTTATGCTGATGTGTGGTTATGCTGATGTGTGGTTATGCTGATGCGTGGTCATGGTGATGTGTGGTCATGCTGATGTGTGGTTATGCTGATGTGTGGTTATGCTGATGTGTGGTTATGCTGATGTGTGGTTATGCTGATGTGTGGTTATGCTGATGTGTGGTTATGCTGATGTGTGGTTATGCTGATGTGTGGTTGATGTGTGGTTATGCTGATGTGTGGTCATGCTGATGTGTGGTCATGCTGATGTGTGGTCATGCTGATGTGTGGTTATGCTGATGTGTGGTTATGCTGATGTGTGGTTATGCTGATGTGTGGTTATGCTGATGTGTGGTTATGCTGATGTGTGGTTATGCTGATGTGTGGTTATGCTGATGTGTGGTTATGCTGATGTGTGGTGATGCTGATGTGTGGTGATGCTGATGTGTGGTTATGCTGATGTGTGGTTATGCTGATGTGTGGTTATGCTGATGTGTGGTTATGCTGATGTGTGGTTATGCTGATGTGTGGTTATGCTGATGTGTGGTTATGCTGATGTGTGGTTATGCTGATGTGTGGTTATGCTGATGTGTGGTTATGCTGATGTGTGGTTATGCTGATGTGTGGTTATGCTGATGTGTGGTTATGCTGATGTGTGGTTATGCTGATGTGTGGTTATGCTGATGTGTGGTTATGCTGATGTGTGGTTATGCTGATGTGTGGTTATGCTGATGTGTGGTCATGCTGATGTGTGGTCATGCTGATGTGTGGTTATGCTGATGTGTGGTTATGCTGATGTGTGGTTATGCTGATGTGTGGTTATGCTGATGTGTGGTTATGCTGATGTGTGGTTATGCTGATGTGTGGTCATGCTGATGTGGTCATGCTGATGTGTGGTTATGCTGATGTGTGGTTATGCTGATGTGTGGTTATGCTGATGTGTGGTTATGCTGATGTGTGGTTATGCTGATGTGTGGTTATGCTGATGTGTGGTTATGCTGATGTGTGGTTATGCTGATGTGTGGTTATGCTGATGTGTGGTTATGCTGATGTGTGGTTATGCTGATGTGTGGTTATGCTGATGTGTGGTTATGCTGATGTGTGGTTATGCTGATGTGTGGTTGATGTGTGGTTATGCTGATGTGTGGTCATGCTGATGTGTGGTCATGCTGATGTGTGGTCATGCTGATGTGTGGTTATGCTGATGTGTGGTTATGCTGATGTGTGGTTATGCTGATGTGTGGTTATGCTGATGTGTGGTTATGCTGATGTGTGGTTATGCTGATGTGTGGTTATGCTGATGTGTGGTGATGCTGATGTGTGGTGATGCTGATGTGTGGTTATGCTGATGTGTGGTTATGCTGATGTGTGGTTATGCTGATGTGTGGTTATGCTGATGTGTGGTTATGCTGATGTGTGGTTATGCTGATGTGTGGTTATGCTGATGTGTGGTTATGCTGATGTGTGGTTATGCTGATGTGTGGTTATGCTGATGTGTGGTTATGCTGATGTGTGGTTATGCTGATGTGTGGTTATGCTGATGTGTGGTTATGCTGATGTGTGGTTATGCTGATGTGTGGTTATGCTGATGTGTGGTTATGCTGATGTGTGGTTATGCTGATGTGTGGTTATGCTGATGTGTGGTTATGCTGATGTGTGGTTATGCTGATGTGTGGTTATGCTGATGTGTGGTTATGCTGATGTGTGGTCATGCTGATGTGTGGTCATGCTGATGTGTGGTTATGCTGATGTGTGGTTATGCTGATGTGTGGTTATGCTGATGTGTGGTTATGCTGATGTGTGGTTATGCTGATGTGTGGTTATGCTGATGTGTGGTTATGCTGATGTGTGGTTATGCTGATGTGTGGTTATGCTGATGTGTGGTTATGCTGATGTGTGGTTATGCTGATGTGTGGTTATGCTGATGTGTGGTTATGCTGATGTGTGGTTATGCTGATGTGTGGTTATGCTGATGTGTGGTTATGCTGATGTGTGGTTATGCTGATGTGTGGTTATGCTGATGTGTGGTTATGCTGATGTGTGGTTATGCTGATGTGTGGTTATGCTGATGTGTGGTTATGCTGATGTGTGGTTATGCTGATGTGTGGTTATGCTGATGTGTGGTTATGCTGATGTGTGGTTATGCTGATGTGTGGTTATGCTGATGTGTGGTTATGCTGATGTGTGGTTATGCTGATGTGTGGTTATGCTGATGTGTGGTTATGCTGATGTGTGGTTATGCTGATGTGTGGTTATGCTGATGTGTGGTTATGCTGATGTGTGGTTATGCTGATGTGTGGTTATGCTGATGTGTGGTTATGCTGATGTGTGGTTATGCTGATGTGTGGTTATGCTGATGTGTGGTTATGCTGATGTGTGGTTATGCTGATGTGTGGTTATGCTGATGTGTGGTTATGCTGATGCGTGGTCATGCTGATGTGTGGTCATGCTGATGTGTGGTTATGCTGATGTGTGGTTATGCTGATGTGTGGTTATGCTGATGTGTGGTTATGCTGATGTGTGGTTATGCTGATGTGTGGTTATGCTGATGTGTGGTTATGCTGATGCGTGGTCATGGTGATGTGTGGTCATGCTGATGTGTGGTTATGCTGATGTGTGGTTATGCTGATGTGTGGTTATGCTGATGTGTGGTTATGCTGATGTGTGGTTATGCTGATGTGTGGTTATGCTGATGTGTGGTTATGCTGATGTGTGGTTATGCTGATGTGTGGTTATGCTGATGTGTGGTCATGCTGATGTGTGGTCATGCTGATGTGTGGTCATGCTGATGTGTGGTTATGCTGATGTGTGGTTATGCTGATGTGTGGTTATGCTGATGTGTGGTTATGCTGATGTGTGGTTATGCTGATGTGTGGTTATGCTGATGTGTGGTTATGCTGATGTGTGGTTATGCTGATGTGTGGTGATGCTGATGTGTGGTGATGCTGATGTGTGGTTATGCTGATGTGTGGTTATGCTGATGTGTGGTTATGCTGATGTGTGGTTATGCTGATGTGTGGTTATGCTGATGTGTGGTTATGCTGATGTGTGGTTATGCTGATGTGTGGTTATGCTGATGTGTGGTTATGCTGATGTGTGGTTATGCTGATGTGTGGTTATGCTGATGTGTGGTTATGCTGATGTGTGGTTATGCTGATGTGTGGTTATGCTGATGTGTGGTTATGCTGATGTGTGGTTATGCTGATGTGTGGTTATGCTGATGTGTGGTTATGCTGATGTGTGGTTATGCTGATGTGTGGTTATGCTGATGCGTGGTCATGCTGATGCGTGGTCATGCTGATGTGTGGTTATGCTGATGTGTGGTTATGCTGATGTGTGGTTATGCTGATGTGTGGTTATGCTGATGTGTGGTTATGCTGATGTGTGGTTATGCTGATGTGTGGTTATGCTGATGCGTGGTCATGCTGATGTGTGGTCATGCTGATGTGTGGTTATGCTGATGTGTGGTTATGCTGATGTGTGGTTATGCTGATGTGTGGTTATGCTGATGTGTGGTTATGCTGATGTGTGGTTATGCTGATGTGTGGTTATGCTGATGTGTGGTTATGCTGATGTGTGGTTATGCTGATGTGTGGTCATGCTGATGTGTGGTCATGCTGATGTGTGGTCATGCTGATGTGTGGTTATGCTGATGTGTGGTTATGCTGATGTGTGGTTATGCTGATGTGTGGTTATGCTGATGTGTGGTTATGCTGATGTGTGGTTATGCTGATGTGTGGTTATGCTGATGTGTGGTTATGCTGATGTGTGGTTATGCTGATGTGTGGTTATGCTGATGTGTGGTTATGCTGATGTGTGGTTATGCTGATGTGTGGTTATGCTGATGTGTGGTTATGCTGATGTGTGGTTATGCTGATGCGTGGTCATGCTGATGTGTGGTCATGCTGATGTGTGGTTATGCTGATGTGTGGTTATGCTGATGTGTGGTTATGCTGATGTGTGGTTATGCTGATGTGTGGTTATGCTGATGTGTGGTTATGCTGATGTGTGGTTATGCTGATGTGTGGTTATGCTGATGTGTGGTCATGCTGATGTGTGGTATGGGTATGCAGGTTGCTGGGGAACCAGATTCTGGGAGGGCCCATTCCGCAGTCAATCAGCAACCTCAGGAACTTAACCTGGCTGTATGTCCACTCCAGCCAACGGCCGACAACTGCCATCTGCCACCTGCCATATGATATTTGTCAATCCTCGGATGTCTCATGCCTAGCTCCACCAAACCCGGCCCTCCCCCGAGCCGCAATTGTCCCACTCACTTGTTTCTGCTCCATCAATCAACCCCATCTACCTCACCCATCCACCTTGCTTCCGTTTCCCACCTTTTCTCACCTCATCCTCTTTTCTCACATCGTCGTGTTTTTCCCACCTCACCCTCTTTTCTCACCTCATCGTCTTTCCCACTGCACCCTATTTCTCACCTCCTCGTCTTTTCCCAACTCACCTTCTTTCACTCACCCTGCTCCTCCGTTCACTCACAAGTCCCAACCCTGGACCTTCCTGCACCACCCTGCACCATCCTTCATACTCCAACATTCTCGTCGCTTTCTCACTCTCATTACCCTGCATCTCCTTTAACTCACGCCTCATCACCCTGCAGCCCCTCCTTATACTCACCACCCTGCACCTTTTACTCACTCCTCGCTACTCTGATTGCTCCTTTTGCTCTGTCTCATGCATAACGTTGATCCGGAAGAATTGCCTCATTGTATTCACTCCAAGATTACACTTCTAGCTTTTTGTTCATTCATTTTTACTGCATTGTTATTTCTTTTCTTTAATTCCCGTGTTCACTTGTTTTCCTTGCTTCCCTTCTCAAGTTTCCACCTCAACTCAACCATCTCGTACTTTTTTCTCAGAAGCGAATGATTGTGATGATATATATATATATATATATATATATATACTATATAATATCACATCGACTATGACTTTCTGTTGGTGTGCATGCATGCCCCTTTTAGAGGTCTCTCCTCGAGCCAACTTTCAGGCAGCATCCCGGCAGGCATCGGTGATCTCATTCACATGGTGTACATGTGAGCAGCACACGTAGATTTTTTAGGCGATGGGCATTCATCCATGTGTTGTGCAATGGGCATCCATCCATGTGAGGTGATATGCGTATCCATCCATATGACGTTATATGGGCGTCGATCCATGTGACATGCATCTATTTACATGCGAGGTGCATTCAACCTACAATTGCATTCATGCATACTACCTCATATACATCACAAAAATCATGCGTCCAGAAACCTGTCGCAAAGAGTTGCTCTGGTGTTATTCCAAATGGTTTACAACCGTAGGTTTCCAAACGATTTCATGAGAAAGTAAAAGCAGTTTTCAAAATGCTTTGTCCAATGCTTTCCGTCTGCTTTGTCGAATGCTTTTCGACTGCTTCTACAATGCATTTCTGCTCAGACCTACTAGGCGGAAACCCTTCAGCGGAAGTTTTGTTGGAGTTTCATGGGAGCCATTTCGGAGATTTGATATCATTGCGTTATACTCTTTACGGGGTTTGGGCTTCATAATAATAATCTTATATTGGATTGTTTCGTCTACATTACATGTTTAAAATGATGTTTATTTGCCACTCTTCTACATTCAGGGTTCATCATCATAAGCTTTGGTAAAAGCGTATATTCCCATTGAAAAAGGCACACATTACAGCAGCCTATACCCGCCATGCCTGGATCCTCCTACTACCTACTTATCAGGCTCCCGTACACTAGGTCTCCCACTACACCCCATCTATCGGGCTCTACGCCGAACGTACCCTCAGCTACACTTTGTCCCCAGTTAACCCTAGCCTGGGCTGCGATTCCACTTTCTGCCACTCCCTGTTACCGCCCCTTGTGATGTCTCCCTGATCCCTCACCCGCGCCTCCCCTAGTTCTGCAACAATTGCCCTGCCCCTGCACCCACTGCTTCCTCGCACGTTCTGCCCTGTCATGCCTCTGCTGCCCCCTGGTGCGCTCCAGTCATGCCTTTACTGCTGGCCCCCTTCCTCTCTCCACCCATGTCTTCCCTGCTGTCCCCTTTTCTCTCGCCACTCGTGCCTTTTTTGCTGTCCCCCTTGTTCTCTCCACTCATGCCTTTACTGCTGCACCCCTATACTGTCACCTCCTGTTGCCTCTCCGGTTGCCCCCCTTGCACCCTCCACACATTGCCACTGGTGTTGCCTCCCAAGCTGTCTTCACTCATTGCCTATCCTGCTGCCCTCCTACCACAATCCACTCATTTGCCTCACTTGCTGCCCCCCTTGTAAACCATGCCATCATTTGGCCCTCTTGCCTCCCCTACTTTTGCCACTCTTGTGCCTCTTGCCCTTCCTACGCTCCTGCCCCCCCTGCTTCTCATCCTCATCCTCATCCTTTTCCTCCTCTGCTTCCTCCTCTTCCTCTTCCCTCCTGTTAGCCTTGCCTTTGCCTCTCTTGTGCCTGCCCTTCCTCCGGTCCTTCCCCCCTTGTTTCTGATCCTCCTGCTCCTCCTCTCCCTCCTCCTCCTCTTCCTCTTCCTCTTCCCTCCTGCTTCCCTTGCCTTTGCCTCTCTTGTGCCTGCCCTTCCTCCGATCCTGCCCCCCTTGTTTCTGATCCTCCTGCTCCTCCTCTTCCTCCTCTTTCTCTTCATCTTCCCTCCTGCCTCCCTTGATATCTTCTCTCTTCTGTCTTTTGCCCTTCCTACAATCCTGCCCGCCCGGTTTCTCATCCTCCTCCTCCTCTTCCTCCTCCTCCTCTTCCTCTACCCTCCTTCCTCCCCTGCTTTTGCCTCTCTTGTGCTTTTTGCCCTTCCTCCGCTCCTGCCCCCACTGCTTCTCCTCCTCCTCCTCGTCCATATCCTCCTCCTCCTCTTCCACTTCCCTCCTGCCTCCCCTGCCTTTGCCTCTCTTGTGCTTTTTGCCCTTCCTCCGCTCCTGCCCCCACTGTTCCTCCTCCTCCTCCTCCTCCTTCTCCTCCTCCATGTCCTCCTTGTCGTACTGCTCCTCCTCTTCCTCCTTCAGGTCCCCCTTCTCATCATCCGGCTCCGCCGTCCTCCGGAACGCCTCGAATCCAGACTCATGTACATAGAGGCCACGGCTGCCCCACTTGAAGCCCTCCACGTCTTTGTTGTACACGGGGGTGTGGCGGCTAAAGTGTTCTTTGATAATCCACCGCACATTTCGGTGCAATTCCCCCATCCATTCACTGTTCTTCCGGTGAGAGTTCGAGAGGTTTAAGTCAGTCTTCTTAACCTTTGACAAGCCCTGGTCAAACTGAAATAGCACCGCAAAGTATGGAAGAGGGATCATGTGACTTCAGTCGACGCACTCGCGGGCAGAGTTTACAAGGATGCGCATATAGCCCTACATACCATACCGTGGCGCTATGATAGCATGCAATTCCATAGCAAGCACGGGTTTAGCAACGATGTCTCACCACCATGATTGACCAGGCTATGCCCGGACCGCTTCCACAAACCGGCCGTTGGCAAAAGGGAGCCCATCTGCGTTGTTCCCCCACGAGCTGACCCGCTGATTCCCTCCGCGCACGCATGCCAAGGCGGGGCAGCATGTGAGATGCATGATCATGCATGACGTGGTTTAAGGGTAGTCCAAAGGGTGTGTATGAAGGCGAGGGCGGGAGAGAGGGGAGGGCGGACGAGAATGGAGGGCGGGAGAGAAGGGGATTGGCGGGAAAGAAGGGGATGGCGAGAGAGAAGGGGATTGGCGGGAGAGAAGGGGATTGGCGGGAGAGAAGGGGATTGGCGGGAGAGAAGGGGATTGGCGGGAGAGAAGGGGATTGGCGGGAGAGAAGGGGATGGCGGGAGAGAAGGGGATGGCCACAAGTAAGTACTCACTCGGTTGGTATTTAATCCACATTTTGCGCTTCTTCTTGGTGCCCATCCAGAGATCGGCTGCACGCAGGCCTTCCACCTTCTTGCCGAAAGTTACGAGCACTTTGCGCTTGATTTGGAAACCACGCTCGTTTTTCCACGACGTCCAGGCACGTTTAAAAGCTTCAACGATGTTTTTGTCCTGCATCGCCTCACGCAGCTGCATGTACGTGACGATGTGCGTCTCGCGGATAACATGATATAGAACCTGCAGGCGCGCGTCGAACGATGGGTAGAAGTCTATGGCATGGTCCGGCGCTTCCATGCACATCCGTTCCCGCCCCACGACGAAATGAAGCTATGACGGACGGGTGGACAGGAATGGCAATAATGAGTTTAGGGTACAACTCGCTGGAGTTGGAATTGGAGTCCCAACTCTCACTGGGAGTCACGACCCTCACTGCAGTCACTCCGCTGCACGCTGCGCCGCACGACACCCCCGCGACCAGCAGCACCATGAACCGGGGCTCTGTGAGAGGAAGGGGAGGGATGGGAGGGAGAGGGGAGGGAGGAGCGGTGGAAAGAAGGGGGGTAGCGAGGGGTTGACAGAGCGGGCTGCCTGCTATCACTGCGCCACATGCCACCCACGCACCACCAGCACCATGAACCGGGGCTCTGTGAGAGGAAGGGGAGGGATGGGAGGGAGAGGGGAGGGAGGAGCGGTGGAACGAAGGGGGGTAGCGAGGGGTTGACAGAGCGGGCTGCCTGCTATCACTGCGCCACATGCCACCCACGCACCACCAGCACCATGAACCGGGGCTCTGTGAGAGGAAGGGGAGGGATGGGAGGGAGAGGGGAGGGAGGAGCGGTGGAAAGAAGGGGGGTAGCGAGGGGTTGACAGAGCGGGCTGCCTGCTATCACTGCGCCACATGCCACCCACGCACCACCAGCACCATGAACCGGGGCTCTGTGAGAGGAAGGGGAGGGATGGGATGGAGAGGGGAGGGAGGAGCGGTGGAAAGAAGGGGGGTAGCGAGGGGTTGACAGAGCGGGCTGCCTGCTATCACTGCGCCACATGCCACCCACGCACCACCAGCACCATGAACCGGGGCTCTGTGAGAGGAAGGGGAGGGATGGGAGGGAGAGGGGAGGGAGGAGCGGTGGAAAGAAGGGGGGTAGCGAGGGGTTGACAGAGCGGGCTGCCTGCTATCACTGCGCCACATGCCACCCACGCCACCACCAGCACCATGAACCGGGGCTCTGTGAGAGGAAGGGGAGGGATGGGAGGGAGAGGGGAGGGAGGAGCGGTGGAAAGAAGGGGGGTAGCGAGGGGTTGACAGAGCGGGCTGCCTGCTATCACTGCGCCACATGCCACCCACGCACCACCAGCACCATGAACCGGGGCTCTGTGAGAGGAAGGGGAGGGATGGGAGGGAGAGGGGAGGGAGGAGCGGTGGAACGAAGGGGGGTAGCGAGGGGTTGACAGAGCGGGCTGCCTGCTATCACTGCGCCACATGCCACCCACGCACCACCAGCACCATGAACCGGGGCTCTGTGAGAGGAAGGGGAGGGATGGGAGAGAGCGGGGAGGGAGGAGCGGCGGAAAGAAGGAGGGTAGCGAGGGGTTGACAGAGCGGGCTGCCTGCTATCACTGCGCCACATGCCACCCACGCACCACCAGCACCATGAACCGGGGCTCTGTGAGAGGAAGGGGAGGGATGGGATGGAGAGGGGAGGGAGGAGCGGTGGAAAGAAGGGGGGTAGCGAGGGGTTGACAGAGCGAGCTGCCTGCTATCACTGCGCCACATGCCACCCACGCACCACCAGCACCATGAACCGGGGCTCTGTGAGAGGAAGGGGAGGGATGGGAGGGAGAGGGGAGGGAGGAGCGGTGGAAAGAAGGGGGGTAGCGAGGGGTTGACAGAGCGGGCTGCCTGCTATCACTGCGCCACATGCCACCCACGCACCACCAGCACCATGAACCGGGGCTCTGTGAGAGGAAGGGGAGGGATGGGAGGGAGAGGGGAGGGAGGAGCGGTGGAAAGAAGGGGGGTAGCGAGGGGTTGACAGAGCGGGCTGCCTGCTATCACTGCGCCACATGCCACCCACGCACCACCAGCACCATGAACCGGGGCTCTGTGAGAGGAAGGGGAGGGATGGGAGGGAGAGGGGAGGGAGGAGCGGTGGAAAGAAGGGGGGTAGCGAGGGGTTGACAGAGCGGGCTGCCTGCTATCACTGCGCCACATGCCACCCACGCCACCACCAGCACCATGAACAGCCGCTCTGTAAGAGGAAGGGGCGGGATGGGAGAGAGCGGGGAGGTTTGAGGGAAAGAATTGTGATGGTTAGATAGGGGAGAGATGGCAGAGTGTGAGAGCTCCATACGACCAGCGCCACCCATGGGCCGCATGCTACACACAATAGAACACTCACCCTCAAATTCTTGGGTGTGGGCATCCCATGCGGTCGACGGACCCGCTGGTCTTCCGTCACTGGGCTTTCTGGGGCCACGCCTGGACTGCGGCCCCCTGCAGATGGGCCGCTTGACAGAGACGCCAGAGGAGGAGGCCGGGACGGAGGTGTGCAGGGTTTGACTGGTCCTTTGGATCCTGGCCTTGCCTTGAGATCCGCAATTTCCCGGTCGCGGCGAGCAAGCTCTCGCATGAGCTGCTCCACTGTCATGCCGCCAGCCTGATTGGGGAGGTTGGATGCTCCCGGAGTACCCATGCTCTCTCCCCTCCCCTCCTTAGTCGCTGGCTCCATTTTCGATAGGTTACCACCTTCCATGCTCTCCCGCATATCCCACATGGAGCCGTCCACACCGCCGCCACATTCACCCAAGGCATTCGCCCACACACCTCCTGCCCCACCGTCATTCGCTGCTGCGGCGGCCGAGTGTTCCAGGCGCTTCGAAGCCCCCTCGGCATTCACATGACCCGCGTGACCCCCCATATGCATGTCATGCGGGTCCTTCGCTTCCCTGCCAAAACGCGATGACCCCCAAGCCATCGGATCCCCTCTCTTCCCAGCAGATGCGTTGGGTTCGCGTAACGCGGCGTACGGGTCATCGCGAGTCAGCTGCTTCGGCCCCCCCGCTTCTTTCCGATTGTAAGAGGGGGACTGACCGTCGAGACCCATGGACTCGTAAAAATTCAACTCCCGCTTCGCCTTGGACCGCACACCCAGAAGTTTAGCCGCGAACCGAGGTCTCTGGCTCTTGCCATGTGGTTTGGCACGACGCGCACTCTTCTTACCGCTGTTCACCCGTCCGCTTTCCGATTTTCGCTTCCCGTTGCCCTTCTTGATCTTCCGCACACTCCTCTTCTTCAAAGGCCGCGCCTCCTCCCCATCCTCGCTCTCCGGCTCCAACTCCCCATCCTCGCTCTCCTCCTCCTCCTCATCCTCGTCCTCGTATACCTCCTCACTCCCGGATGAGCTGCCCGACTCACTGTCGCTGGATCCCTCATCCGAACCCGACGAGCTCGACACATACTTTTTCGGGCCTTGTCGAGCTTGTCTCGCTTTTCGGTCGCGACTGCCCGAGTCCACGTCTTTGCGCCGTTTGTACGCGATCACAGCTTCATGTCCCTGCTCTTTCCCATCAGTCACTGCTGCAGGGTCGTCCTCGTCATGGTCGATACCACCACCGCCTCGCTTGGAGGCTATCCCTGCTGCGAAAGCAACAAATGCGGGACAATGTAGGTGTCATTTCACTCTCGACATAGTTGCTGGTGCTCCTTGTAACAACATGCACGGACGGTATTCTCAAGTGCAACGAGAGAGGGAAAGGGGGAACCGCATACCTTCGAAAACTGTCTCGGGCAGTGCCAACTCGTCGCCACCAGCCACATCCTGCGAGTGTCTGCCCTCCTGACTGTCCTTTGCCGCTGCCGCCTTGGCGCTGTTGCGTTTTCCACCGCCGCGGCCTTCAATCTCAGCATGCGCCATCTCGTCGCCACCGGCCACATCCTGCGACTGTCTGCCCTCTTGACTGTCCTTTGCCGCTGCCGCCTTGGCGCTGTTGCGTTTTCCACCGCCGCGGCCTTCAATCTCAGCATGCGCCATCTCGTCGCCACCGGCCACATCCTGCGAGTGTCTTTCCCCCTGACAGTCCTTTGCCGCTGCCGCCTTGGCGCTGTTGCGTTTTCCACCGCCGCGGCCTTCAATCTCAGCATGCGCCATCTCGTCGCCACCGGCCACATCCTGCGAGTGTCTTTCCCCCTGACAGTCCTTTGCCGCTGCCGCCTTGGCGCTGTTGCGTTTTCCACCGCCACGGCCTTCAATCTCAGCATGCGCCAGCTCGTCGCCACCGGCCACATCCTGCGAGTGTCTGCCCTCCTGACTGCCCTTTGCCGCTGCCGCCTTGGCGCTGTTGCGTTTTCCACCGCCGCGGCCTTCAATCTCAGCATGCGCCAGCTCGTCGCCACCGGCCACATCCTGCGAGTGTCTGCCCTCCTGACTGCCCTTTGCCGCTGCCGCCTTGGCGCTGTTGCGTTTTCCACCGCCGCGGCCTTCAATCTCAGCATGCGCCAGCTCGTCGCCACCGGTACGGTCATCACGTCCTAAGCGTTGGCCTGCGCGCTTGCCTCCTGACCCACCTGCGAGGTCGGACATTACAGGTACATTAGCAGAACAGTGAGCGTAAATTGTAGTAGTGTAGTTGCAACAATATGCTTAGTCGTTGTTACGGGTAACGTTTAACTAAGAAACCCTAGACATTACACAAACACGAACCTTCGTTGACAGGCCGACTGTCCTCGTCCTGCTCGTCGCCTTCAGAAGCAGCAGTTTCCGCCAGATGTGAGCGAGTGCCTCTCTGCCGTTGACGGCGCTTACGACCCCCCCGGGTAACACACTTGTCAGCTGACAATTCTGTGAATAGACAATTGGAGCGACAATCGCGGGCACAAGTCATACACGACGGCAAAAAACATTCAATGCATCAGTCTGTGGTAACTACTTATACAAGCTCTCCTATTCAACATCTGCAACCATAAACACGTACCTTTCTTGCGGGTTGTGGGAACTATATCATCTAAGCGCTTCACACGCTTCTCCCTTGGTTTCGGAGGGGAGGATACACCCTTGTTTGCGTATGGCTCAACATCGCAGTCGCTCTTCGATTCGTCACCAGATGAAGAGTCACGTCCTGACTCAACTTCGTCTCGCGCCGACGACGCAATATGCTTGCGGTACTCGTTTACAATCTCGGCGGTCTTATCTGCAGTAACTAACTCCGTATATAATTTCTCCGCGGGCGATTTAGACGAATCGGCCAAAACAATCGCCCCGTCGGGCCCCTTAATTGTCTGACCCCCCATTGCGATGTCTATGTTTCCATTAGTCCAGTATTCTGAGGTGGTGAGGAGTTTAGGGTTGCAACCTGACAGACACCCGTCGTGCACTCAATATTAGTTGAGCCTAGAGAGGGACGAGACTCAGATTGGGGCCTAGAGCAGATGTTTGTGATAGATACAGGCACGCAAGGGGAGCACGGAGGAGACGAGGGTTTGAGTGTTTCCTCGTCTGGTGCACGTTGCGACATCCAGGTCCCCCCGTTTCCCCCAACAACTAATCGCATGGTGGTTAACGTGTATTACAAAAAAAAAAAAGCAGCACTGCTATTGCAAGTTTAAGTATGAGCGTGCGTGATTAAGTGTTTCTCCGTCCATGAGCGACAGGGTGCGCTACTTTTTGTTTAAACATCGGGTATAAGGCGCTAGTGTATTGTGCTTGGCGAGCGGCATAAGTATTCTGCCCGCGCTCACGTAATGACCCTTATTTACATTGACTTCCTCGACTGCCACACGAACCTTATCACACGCGTCACGTCAAGAGTCACATAGCCACTGCGGAGAAACGGGGACGCACGATCGCATCACTTCGTACAGCGAGGCGACAGGACGACAGGAAGCCGTTGTGGAACGCCTGCGATAAAAGCGCAGACTCGTGAGTTACTTGTACGTGGTTGCGATTGGGTCGCTAGTCGGTGAGATCCGCGAACGTGGCATAGCGCCGAGGTGAGTGGTTTGGCGCAGGGGAGGGGGGGGAGGGGTGGGCACGTTCGGACACATTGATTTGAACTGTAGCAATTTAGGGGTGAACGAACATATTAAACATTAATTCCAAAAGGACTGTGAAGTTGTCTAATCCCTATCACATCCATGCAAATATGCAACATGACAGTGCATAACCAGACACATACTTCTCAGACCATGCCTAGATCACTTTGATGTAGAGCCGTCAAACTGATGCTTTGATTAATTTGTAATAAGGGTCGAAATAAATAATCTATTGGTGTCGTGACGCTACTAACTGCATCAACACTACTTGCAAGCGATTGCATGTCATTTGTGGTGCAAAACTACAAGAGCCAGACACGTACTCCTCTTATTGTTCTTGTCTGCTCCCAATTCATGCGGGGCAGCTGTAGTGCAACTGTCAAGTACTATGTGTGTGGTATGTTCTCATTTCATGCTGGAAAGAGGGTGACAGACAAACACTTGCTGCTTGTTCACAAGAGTTGTGTGGACATGCAGGACTGCTTTGCAGCATCACCCACCTGCTTTTAGTATTGTTTGTAGACATGACGAGCTGGAGCGGCATGGATAAACACATCCCTATGGGGAGTGTTCTCATGGCATGCAGGACTGGAAGGGACAAACAGTTCCCCATTGGTCTACTTCGACAACCTATTGCATACAACTTTGACAGCCAATTAACATGTACATAATGGGGCCAGGGGGTACTCGGACAGATTATCCAGGATAAGCACACCTGGTCAATCACACTAAGCGCACCCGTCTTGTTCTCTAACGCCTCTCGCGTCCTCCCCCCATGCTCACCGCCGCATTCTACTTTACTCACCCTTTCATGCCCCACAGCCTCCCTGTCTCGTGTCTCCTTGCTACCCGCCTCAGTCCCCCTTGCACTCCCACTCGGTAGCTCCTGCTTCCCGCCTCATTCCCTCTCGCTCACCGTCTCAGTCCCCCTTGCTACCCGTCTCATCCCCCTTCGCACACCGCACCCCCACATACCAGCCTCACTCCCTCCAGTCTCCCGCCTAATTTCCTCCTGCTCACTGCCGCATTCCCCTTATGCGCACCGCATCGTTCACTCCTGGTTCCAACCCCCTTCCCTACTGCTTCCCGCCTCATCCCCCCTTGCTACCCGCCTCATCCCCCCTTGCTTCCCACCTCATTCCCCCTTGCTACCCGCCTCATTCCCCTTTGCTACCCGCCTCATCCCCCCTTGCTACCCGCCTCAGTCCCCCTTGCACTCCCACTCGGTAGCTCCTGCTTCCCGCCTCATTCCCTCCCGCTCACCGTCTCAGTCCCCGTTGCTACCCGTCTCATCCCCCTTCGCACACCGCACCCCCACATACCAGCCTCACTCCCTCCAGTCTCCCGCCTAATTTCCTCCTGCTCACTGCCGCATTCCCCTTATGCGCACCGCATCGTTCACTCCTGGTTCCAACCCCCTTCCATACTGCTTCCCGCCTCATCCCCCCTTGCTACCCGCCTCATCCCCCCTTGCTTCCCACCTCATTCCCCCTTGCTACCCGCCTCATTCCCCTTTGCTACCCGCCTCATCCCCCCTTGCTACCCGCCTCAGTCCCCCTTGCACTCCCACTCGGTAGCTCCTGCTTCCCGCCTCATTCCCTCTCGCTCACCGTCTCAGTCCCCGTTGCTACCCGTCTCATCCCCCTTCGCACACCGCACCCCCACATACCAGCCTCACTCCCTCCAGTGTCCCGCCTAATTTCCTCCTGCTCACTGCCGCATTCCCCTTATGCGCACCGCATCGTTCACTCCTGGTTCCAACCCCCTTCCCTACTGCTTCCCGCCTCATCCCCCCTTGCTACCCGCCTCATCCCCCCTTGCTTCCCACCTCATTCCCCCTTGCTACCCGCCTCATTCCCCTTTGCTACCCGCCTCATCCCCCCTTGCTACCCGCCTCAGTCCCCCTTGCACTCCCACTCGGTAGCTCCTGCTTCCCGCCTCATTCCCTCCCGCTCACCGTCTCAGTCCCCGTTGCTACCCGTCTCATCCCCCTTCGCACACCGCACCCCCACATACCAGCCTCACTCCCTCCAGTCTCCCGCCTAATTTCCTCCTGCTCACTGCCGCATTCCCATTATGCGCACCGCATCGTTCACTCCTGGTTCCAACCCCCTTCCCTCCTGCGTCCCGCCTCATTCACCTTTGCTACCCGCCTCATCCCCCCTTGCTTCCCACCTCATCCCCCCTTGCTACCCGCCTCATTCTCCCTTGCCCCCCACCTCATTCCCCCTTCGCTCACCGACTCATTCTCCCACTTATCCCCGCCACAAACCCCCCTTTCTACCCGCCGCATTCCCCCAAGCTCCCCGCCCCATTACCAGCTTATCACCGCCTCATGCCCCACCTCCATCCTCCTCCATCGTGTTAGCGCGAAAATACACAGACCACTTCCTCAAATCGCGACGGTACTGACGGCGCCACTTTAGTGGCGTACCCACAAGCTCACACGAACTCAGGTTACGGAAACCATCCTCGACCAACGTGTGCATCACACGCATCGTGAACACACCACAGTCGTTCCCATTGGACTGCTTTGGAATCTGAAAAAACACAGGGTCAATGATGGCGGCGTAATGTCCCATCTGGGATTGGGGTTTCGCTAAGGAATTTGCGTTGCTAAAAAGAGAGATGCGATTGTTTCGGAGGTCGTACAGCAAAGGCAATAGCGCCCACCTTGACCTGTCGTAGCGGGATGCTCGCAGCCCATGCATCTGCGTCCGGATCTATGATCCAGGCACAGCATCTTATCACCTCGTTTCGTAAGTACCTGCAAATCGGGAGACAATGCTTCAGTTGTTACGGTACCCCAAATCTATTGTACGAGACAACAGCGGACTGCCATTTTAGAGAGAGTACCTGCGCAACGGGGCGTCGACACCGTCATGGGACCCATACGAGTCAGCGTGCCAGAGCACGCAGTTCATGGGAATCGGGTCGTCGGGTTTCGGTATGATCTCGATCACGATCAGGCTCCAGTGACTCCTACGGAATACATGAGGAATAGCGTCAGTAACTACAACGTTAGACTGCCGAATTCTATATGGTGTCATCCTTGCTGACGCGACGAGTACTCACTCTGTATTAATCGGAACAAGAACGTATCTAAACTCGAAAATACCCAATCCGAAAGTATAGGCGTTTTCGCGCCTCGAGGTGTCTCTCCGAGCGTAGTCCCAGAAATAAGATCCACCATAAAGCCAGGTGTTGCGGTCGCGACCGTGTTCGTACTGCAGCATCCTGCGGGTGCGTATGTTAACGCCAAGACAAACGCATGAGAGAACCGTGACGAATCAGTCTAACGATTCTCAAATCCTGATACTCACACCCCGAGCCAATCGATAATGATTCCGCTGACCCATTCACCGGGTCGTAGCCTGTTGGCGTGTTCTACGCTTATGTCGAGCCAGCCTCCGCCGTAGGGAAAGGGCATGGAAATCGGCTGAAAGGGGAGTTTACTAGCCAAACAAGGTAGAGCCATGACCAAATGTTGACGAGTTAGAATTGCGTGCAACACTTGGGATATGAGACACCAGCACCTCTTTGGAATTTTGGCTTGTGAGCCACGATGTTGTGTGTCAGCACCTGCCTTGGAGGATGTTACCACAAACTTCAACTTTCGCAATAGGTTTCCGTGCATGCCTGATCCATCAAACTTCGCAATCCCTTGTGCGAGACCAACCGAGATTCGCCCGAGGGCCCCCACTTGTCGGGGCTCATTGGCAATGGTCTGTCTGGTTCCCAACCAGCTGACTCTGCAGATGCATCCACCGAAACTGTGGGACAGCCAATAAAAACAGCTCGCTGACACTGTGGAACTGATTTTCGGGGCTTGCAGTTCCACGCGTCAGTCATTCACCGGTACCTGGTTGGCTGCCGTGAATGTGCCCTTCTACCGGCACAGTGCTGGGGGCATGTATAATTAGGCGACGGCGCGCATAGGTCCACTCCTAGGTGGTCCACACGTTCACTCTCCCATGTTCTGGTCGTATCACTGGTTGTCCCGTATATGAACACCCAGTGCTGGTTGAGGAACGGTGAGATGTACAGAACGATTTGCCCAGGTTTTCTAGGGTTCCGCGTTGCATGACTGGCACACTTTCTGTGCGACGAATCGTGATTGGTGGAAACACAAAGAGCTGTCAGAATCAATCCCGGAAAGGGTTGGAGGAAGGTTGGCCAACCAATCATAGATGACGCTGTAGATTAGGTTACGAGGGCGTCATCACTGGCCTGCGAATTCTGTTCAAAATTGGAGAATCAAGGCGTTAATACCGGTCTGGTACAAAAGTAGAATGAGACATGTAGGTCCAGTGCGGCGCAAGTTCGAATCCCCCTACCCTAATTCACCCCTTATGCACGAATTTGACAACCTGAGATCTGCGCGACAGTCAAACGCGTTTCCCGCGAATCCCACAGACCCATAATTCCACGGTGAGCAACCATAGAGCTCTACGTTGTTGTACGTTATATTTCAAGAGTCCCACTGCTGCCCGGTGTTAAGTGCTCGTGAGTAGGAACAATGAAAGGCCAGGTGTGTGGCTGTGGTTACGTTGCCTTCTGTTATCAGACCCTTAGAAGCCACCAAGTCAATGGCGGCGAATTGTGCAAGCTTAAACAGAAGCGTAAGTTGGTTCTCAAGCAGTCGAGTCCGGAGCACAAAAGGCTAGGTAGAGGCTCGTATTCCGGCGCCATTTTGAACCCTGCACCGCTTCCTCGTCCGTTTATCCAGCTGCCGTTGACAGAAACCGAGTACACAGTTGTTCCGCCATCAGAACCATCAGAACAAGTGAGAGAGGCTGTTGAGGCGCCTTGCGAAGGCTCAGTTGTTGTGGAACCTGAGGGTGAAGAGGATCCGATCGACTTGAAAGCCGAGATATGCATATTGGCACGGTCGCACGGCCTAACGAACGGGGCTATAACTGACATTATAGACCTCTTCCGAATTCCGGGCCTCAATGTCGAACAGCTACAAGGCTGGACGGCCTACAGAGACATCGAGAAGTATGAGAACAGCTTCGTGTTGGGAGCGGAGCATGCGTGGCAAGTGGCTGAGATCGCGGTGGATCATGAAGTTGGGTTTCTCACGTTCCGTTTTCGCGACATCAACGTCGTGAGTATGACGGTGCAATCCGTGAGTATGTTCTGCATTCTAAAACACACAACCCTGCACATTTGCCTCGGTCTTTTGTAATGCACACATTATCAGACTCAAATCTCAATCGTTGTCGCTTTGTAACGCTACTGATTGGAGAGAAATTGCTCCAATGCACCCCAACATGTGCAGTTGGCACAAGCGATGTTCAAAAAGATGTCCGCAACACGTGGCTTCATCATCGAGCCAAAGGAGTGGAAGGTTAAAGGTGAAAGACGATACAGCACTCCAGGCAACACTGACTGGATGCTAAAGGCTTGGGTTAGTAAGCATACATCACCTGTACTTCCCGTCCCCGAACTGTAGCCATTGGAGCACCGCTCTGTCTTGTCCGGTCTCCATCCGTTGTTCTCCTAGCTCAGCACTGAGCTGTACGATCTCCGCCCACCCCTCTCTAATCTCCGCTCCCTTGCTCTACAATTTCCGCCCTGTGCTCTCCAATACTCATTCACGCTATACCGTATCCCTCATAACAGGCCCGTGTCCGCCAAGTCGGCGCAATCGTCTTGGCGATCATTCTCTATTCGGATCAAACGAACCTGTCTAACAACGGAAGACAATCGGCACATCCCTTCGTCCTTTCTTTCGGCAACACCCCGGAATGGGCGCGTTGGTTGGATGGCGGGACCGAGCTGTTGGGGCTCTTCCCTAACATCCCCTCCGATTTGAGCCCGGAAGAGAAGATAAGAGTGTTCCAACTGGCGGCGGAATACATGCTACGGCCTCTGAAAAGTCTCTCCAAGCTCCACGGGTACGCTGCCCTGAATCGACTCTCCTAGGATCATGCGCAAATGACTTTGTACTGAGCGAGATGCTATTGTAGGTCCTTGTTAACCCTGGCTGCCATGGTTCGTGCGTTAGAACCCGCTCATCCGTTCCTCCATTTCGTTTCCGTAACGCCCCCCCCCTACTGAACATTGCTTCCAAGATGTCAGCTCTTGTTTCCTCACCCCGAAGCCACAATCATGGCATGCTCCCATGTTCGGTCGCGCAGCGGGGGCTTGAAGGTGGAGGACAGCAACGGGGTCGAATATTTGGCCATACCGCTACTCTACCCGTTCGTGAACGACCATCCCGAGTCAAACAAGGTCTCGTGCACCATGTCGTGTAGCTCCTTCCGACCATGCTCCCTCTGCATGGTCACGAGGGACAATCTTCGGGACGTGGATGACGAGATCGTTTCGCGGACCGTGCGAGATCAACAGGCCGTCTACAAGAAGATGGAGGAGGCGGAAACAAAGGAGTTGACCCGACTGAAAAGGAAATATTCCACCCACTTCGTTAAGGTAACGCCTGGTACTATCAATGCGTGTGTCTATCGGTTTATATGCCCCCGTGTTCCCACACACATTCACATTCCCGCGCACACAAATCCCATGCCTAGTAGTAACCCCCAAGTGTCATGACCGACCCCTCCCTCAGTAGTTGACGCCTCCCCAGGGCGCCACCCTGTTCAGACATGCCCACACACATATCCTGATCGGTATCTCGTCATCTCCAATCTCACACCCCTTGTTGTCCTCAATCCCCACGACAGTGGAGTCTAATCCTAGCTGCGTTTTTTTGCTTCCTATCCCAACTCGTACCTTTTGTTCGTATTGCGTGCCTCCCCCCCCCCCTACCAGTCATTGCTTTGGGATTGGGAGTTCTGTAAAACCAAGCTGGGCAACACATACCTCGCCCAAACCCCGGACATCATGCACATCATCGAGCAAGGGCTCTGGCTCCATGCAATGAGGTGCCTTGTGAAGAAGTTGAAACCCTCGGAACGGAAGATACTTCTCGAGTGATTTTCTTCTGAACACCTTTGTGGGGCGTGGGTCACAGGGGCAAAAGGGCACGAGGGGCAGAGAGAGGGAGAGGGGTGATGCTGAGGTTGCATTCGGGGCAGCAAGAGGGAAGTAGGGGCAGCGAGAGGGAAGGAGAGGCATCAAGAGGGAAGGAGGGGAAGCGGGAGGGAAGGAGGTGCGGTGACAGGGAAGGACTTTGTTGAGAGGGAAAGAGGAGCATGAAGAGGGCATACAGGGGGAAGGGTGACATGAGAGATGAGGACGCGGGGCATACGGATGTGAATCCGGGGAATAATGGGGGTTGGACAGGATTGAAGGGGGGAATTGGGACAGGGAGCGACGGAGAGTGGGGCAGAGTGACTGAAGAAGGGCAGAGAGAGGGAAATATGGGCAGAGAGAGGGAACGAGGGGCAGAGAGAGGCAACGAGGGGCAGAGAGAGGCAACGATGGGCAGAGAGAGGGCACGAGGGGCAGAGAGAGGAGACCGTGGGGCAGATAGAGGAATAGTGAGGCAGAGTACGGGAAAGCGGGGCCTGATGTGGGTGCAAACAGCAAACCACCCCCCGATACCCATCCCCCCTCTATCCCTCCCCTCCTCCCCACCCCCTCAACCCCAAACTGTCTCCGTAACTGCATCCCTTGGCAGACACTACAAGATGATCAAGGCAGTAACTCCTGCATCCTTGCTGAGGCTCCCATCTGCATGGGCATACTTCACCACGACGGCCTGCTTCTCGGCGTCAGAGCACCGTGCCATGATGCAAGTGCTGCCCCTCATCATCGACCTCCCCAAGCGCGCCGACATTCGACATGCCATAGTGCTCATGTCGGACTGGTACAAGGAGTTCATCCGGGCCGAGTATCACACCGATGAATCGCTCGATCGCATGGAGGAGGTCTCCTGCGAGTAAGTTTAGTGTGATTGGATGTGGGAGCCTTGCCCACGAATCGGCCAAGGGATGGGAAAGAGAGGCAAAGAGAGGGAAAGAGAGGCAAAGAGAGGGAAAGAGAGGCAACGAGAGGGACAGAGAGGCAACGAGATGGAATGAGAGGCAAAGAGGGAAAGAGAGGAAAAGGCAGGGAAGGAGAGGCAAAGAGAGGGAAAGAGAGGCAAAGAGAGGGAAAGAGAGGAAAAGAGAGGGAAGGAGAGGCAGAGACAGGGAAAGAGAGGCAAAGAGAGGGAAGGAGAGGCAGAGACATGGAAAGAGTGGCAAAGAGAGGGAAGGAGAGGCAGAGAGAGGGAAAGAGAGCCAAAGAGAGGGAAGAAGCGACAGAGAGAGGGAAAGAAGGGCCGAGAGATGGAAAGGGGGGGCTGAGATAGTGAAAGAGGGGCTGAGAGGGAAATACGGGCATAGAGAAGAGAGGAGGGGCACAGAGAGAGGTTATGGAGGGGCAGTAATAGGGGAGGAAGAGATGGGATGGGGGGGTAAGGGTATCATAGAGGGGGGGGGGGGGGGGGGGGGGGGGGGGGGCGGTATGAAAGAGGGGAGTCGGGGATGAGAGAGGGTATGGGGCAATGGGTGATGTTCATTGCAGATGGGTATTGAATTAGATTGCTCAGGTTAAACCCCTCCCCACCACTACGATGCTGCACCCCCGTTTCTTCCGATCCACTCTTCAACCCTCCCATCCAGTATGGTCGATGCGCTTGTTCTAGCCTTCGACAACCAGAAGTCGAAGTGGTATATTGTGAAGGTACATCTTGTATCGCACCTACCACCAACGATCCGCGCACGCGGATTGCCACAAGAGTACTCGTCCAACCGGTACGAGCAGTCCCACAAGACAACAGTGAAGCGCCCTTCCCGAGGCACCAACTGGAAGAGTGTGGAAGATCGAATTGTCAAGAAGCATGTCGAGCAAGCCGTTGTTCGACAGCTGTCTCGGGCTGCCGGCGGGGACAAAACCTACGAGACAGCCATGAAGGAGGTGAGCCGGTGTACACCCTAAAACAGATCTATGTGCCACCACTGGTCCCTCCTCTCCATCCGCATGCTAGCCTACATGACCTCCTATTTTGACCTTCCCTGCATCTCCTGTTGAGCCCCGCTGGTCCATCCTCTTGCTACTCTAAACCCTTGACATCCCGTTCTGCCCACACATGCTCCCCATCTTGTAAACCCATGAACCTCTCACTCGCTGCCTCCCCTTGACATCCCGATGTGCAACCCCATGCTCCCCAACTAGTCCACACATAAACCAACGTCCACCCTTAACACATTGCCTCTTCGTTCTTCCCCCCCTTGCTACCCCATTTCCCCATCCATGACCCTTCCTGAACCCTCCTGCCCTTCTCTGTCTTTCGTTCTGCCTCCCCCCCCTCCTTTCCAGTTGTCCACCTATGCTCCCTCCTCTTGCTGCCCCCTCTGACCTCTCATATTGCCCCCCTATGCTTTCCTAATTGTCTCTAATCCCGGCTCCCTGTTACTGCAACCCCCATGGTACTCAAGTGCTGTCTAAACTCTGCTGCCCCCCTTGTAAACCATGCATCCATCACCCTCCCACCCGGGCTTGCACGCTTGGGCGACGGGTGCTGACTAAGACACACAAGAAGATGACCGTGGGGCACATCACCGATGATGTGTTCAGGAGCTACGTCCTTGTCCACGGAGATGCAGCGATGGGCTGCTTGAAGAAGCGCCTGGCCATGGAGGGAATCCGCGACCAAGTGCTGAATGTGAGAATCAAAACAGTGCTCACTGCTACGCAATCATGCCACTCCCATGATGTCATGTTAAACGCGGGCAGCCTTAGGCCATATGTAATGGGCCAAACTCAGGTATGACAACCTGATGTATCAACGCACGCGTCAGCACCCCATCCCTGGAAACCCTAACACAACCTTCCATTGTTGTGCTGCGTTCCATGCTTGCCTGTATGCAGGTGCACACTGCCATGGCAATCCCACCGCACGACAGGATGGAGTGGACCGAGAAGGGGCAGTTTGTCAAAGCAAGCCCTTCTGAAAAGCACTTTTCAGATGTTGCCATAAACCCAGCTGGCAAAGGGGCCAACTGGTACGGCCGTTGCTTGATGCTGTTCCATTACGTAAAAGATGGCGTGGCAAAGAAGGCCGCCTACATAGAGTACTACACGGAGGATCGGCGTGTTTGCCGGTACACTGGCTGCAAACGACTGTTGCCCACGAAGGGGACCTACAACTATGCAGTCGTTGATGCAGATTGCATTCTTAGCATCGTGCATGTTGTCCCGTGCTGCAAGGACCCCGATGTGAAGCTGCTCAATAGGTTCATATGGTAAATTGCAAGCCTGTCGATAAACATAACATAGATTTATTGTAATATACACATTTATGGAACCTTTATTACAAAATATGGAAGCATCATCTGACAAACAAACCATTGATACATTGGTAAACCATTACTAAAACATCCGTCTAACATCTGGTCTGACAAAAATGCTATACAAATGATAGTTAGATGATTGCAGAATGAATGTCAAACGTTTTTTTAATTCATGCCAAAAAAAATATGGTCGAATGATTTCCAGACACACACATTTTTGTGATGTACAAATTCATAACGATGCATTCATATCATATATATCAATCCCCCCCGTGTCAGATTCTTCCTTTCCCGTGTCTTTGTTCACTTGTGAGTGGCCCACAAGTGACAAAACGGTACAGTAGGAAGGAAGGTATGTAGCAGTACCACCATATATCCGCCGGCCAGACAGGCAGTGCCTACTAGTGCAACAGAGCTCTCCTGCCTGTCCTGCCTCACCATATCCGCTGGGTGCTTCTTGCCCCGACTGAATTGGTTATATGATGATACGTCTACCCACGTGCTGATATGTCTACGACCCACCAGTGAACTGTCGCCTGCCTTCATCACTGCTTCCTCTGCCCCTCTCGGTTGGAGATGGCTGCGTACCCCATCCCATCATTTTCTCAACGTTCACTTCCTATTGCCCGTCTCAGTGACCTCAAGGTCAACTACCTTGACGGTCCCATCCCCTCCCAGATTGGCTCCATGGAAAAACTCATTATATCGTAAGTAAACGTCGCCCTTCTCTTCTCTCCTCTCCTACTCCTTCCCCTCTGTGCATTCTTGCAACCCCCCCCTCCCCTCCTCCCCCCCCCACCTCCCCTTGCCTCCACTTACCTCCTCTGACCTTTCTCTTTCACCCCCGCTCACCTCTCGCTCTCAATTCCGCTCCTTACCTCTCATCTCCCCGTCTATCTCCTCTGGGCTTGTAGGGCCGCGGCATGGGCCAATATCCCCTCAGCTGCACTAGTCATGTCTCACCTGGAGGTCAAATGACCTGATTCGATCGACTCATTTGTAACTAGGAGGCTCAGGTCGACTCACAATTCCTACACGGTCGAAGCCAATGGGCACGTCATGAGTCTCATACGACTTGATACTAGGTTCGAACATGTTGTTGACGCCCAGGTCGACCCAACTCGTGTCCTCTACTGTATTTCAACTGTCCATGCTTTTTTTCACCTCTTGCTTGTTGTAACTTGTACCTAGTATCACCATGCAAATGGGTCAATGACAGTTACCATCATACAGGCTTCTGTTTCATTTTCCCTAACTTCTTCTGCCTGATCTTTACTTGGTTTGCTTTATTTTGGGGGGGAGGAGACCAATGATGGTTGGGGGTAGTTTTAACCAGAACGTTTGAAGGGTTTGGGGAAGCCAAAGTTTACATCCAACATATAGATGCTACACTTGATAAACTAGCATACATCAATACCTTATTAATATCGACAACCCTTCAATCATACTGTTCATCCTTTCACTTCTCACCTATTCGTCTCTTAAAAAAAAACAAATCAAAAGATCCACAGGTTCTGTTCTGTTGCTGTCTGTGTGCATGGTACCGCCTCTCAGAGACTTCTCTTACAACCAGCTTTCAGGCAGCATCCCTGCCAGCTTCAGTGGGCTCCGGCGCCTATGTTGCGAAAGACGCGTCCTGCGTCCTGGACGCATGCGTCCAGACGCATGCGTCCAGACGCAGGACGCAGCACCAGGACCAGAAAGACGCACCAAAAGACGCAAGCCCGGGCAGGGCAAAAAAACCCCACGGGCAGGCAAAAAAAAAATGTTATAGGCCCTGGATGAGCACGGGGGCGGGTTGGGCTGTTCTGGCCCGCCTCTTTCCCCTGCGACAATTTGCTTCGTCAGCTGTACATATAAGCTAGTCGAGAAAACCCTAGTTTATTACGCTGTCGACTATATCTCAGGCCAACAAATGCGGCCAGATCTGGTCGACCTGGGATGGGAATTGATAGACTGGTTGGAAATCCTAGATTCAGTGCGGTGAAATCCGGTTTTTATTCTAATTTGAGTCAATTTCGTCAGATCTCATTCTTGCGGGGATTTGACCCCCCCGACAAATGTCGTGGGGGTCAAATTTGAGCTGCGCGACATTTTGTGCAAGCTCAGCTCACCCCTAGCTTCTCATCATGCCATCTCTCACCTAGCTCGTTCCCTAACTTAGGTTCTAGTGTTAGTTAACCGTTTTAAAGTAACGGTTATCTCAAAGGGTGACGAAATAGTGCGTTTGTGCTAAGGGGGGGGGTCGAAATTTCGCGATTTCGACAGTCGCGTCGAAATCGCGAATCTGAATTTCGCGATCGGGAATTCTTTTTCCGGGGCAGCCCGAAAAAAAATCGATGTGCGTCCTCCCTGCGTCTTTCGCATCATAGGGCTCCGCCAGTTAACTTTCATGTGAGCAGCTCGCACACCGACACGGGATGCTAGCAATGTGTGGCTTGGCAAGTGTGCGAACCTTCTGAGGCGCCTCAAAATTCCATGTGATCTGCAGCACGCACACTGTGAACGAATGCGAGTGATCTGATGTGCGGCTCTCGGTGTAAGCGTAGCTCCTAGTGTGTGAGTAGCTCCATCCCAAATTTGTTCGGCATAAATACTATATACCTACTATGTGTGTACATGCTGAACCATTAGTGCTTACAATGTACCCATGAACTATGTAAGTATAGGTTCTGCGACTTACAACCTACTCCACACCTGGAAATAAGGTAAGTGCTATGTTGATACTCAAATTTTGGGTAGAACGTACAATGTACATATTCTTCAAACAGAAAGTCCATACTCATACCATCCTGATACAGTCTGTACGAAGTTCAAACTATGACCCTACTGCTCAGAAACCTGAAGTCAGTACATTGTACGTACTATGCCCTTTTAACGTAAGTACTGTGGCCTTATAATGTGACTACATTATAGGTATATTCAGCGCATTGCTGCGTATTTACTTTTTATTTCAGGCTGCTGCTTTTTATCATATGGTGCGTAGCTAGATTTGTCACTGAATCGCAAATATTAACCAATATGTACATGGTTACACATACATAATTATCTAGGAAAGTCTCCACAATAACCATAACATGGAGTCAAGTCATAGACAGCCATGTGTCTTCACACTGAAGGATCCTCGTACGAGCGTGACGAGGTCTCATCCTTCCCTGCAAAAACGGGAAACAAGTTGATACATTCAATAACGTCGCTGGAAAATGCTGAAAGTGAAGATAACTTATAGGGTATGCTGCTTAAACAGTGAATTCGCCGGCAAATCCACGTCGTGTTAATGTGTGCGATTCACAACCACAACGAGAAATCAGGCCTGCTAAAACTGTCAAGTTGCCTGCAAAACCATGGTGTGTTAGTGCTGAAAACGGCTCATATACAGCACAAAGATCAATAGTCATGCCTGGAAGGTACTGAATGAAGAAACCAGACGATAGCGAGGTAGCCGGTTAACTGGGATACGGAACAGCGACTAAGGTTGAAACAATAGCCATAAGGGGAAGACAACTGGCTTGAACTTGAAGCATAATGAAGAGCTAGGGAAAGGGACTAGGGCTGGAAAAACGATCGTAGCGGAAAACTAACTAGAATGGAGACAATCGATAAAGGAAATGGGAGTTGGGTTGGTGCTTAGGTTGGCATATATGTGGCGTGACTGCTTGCCCGAAATCAATGTGATGAAACATCGACCAATCAGAACAATTCTGCATTATCTTCTGCTGCCAGCTCATTTCATCTCTCGATCCTAACCACCAGCACCTGATGAATCGACGGCTGTTATTTGATATCACTCACTGCAATCCACATGAATGTCCAGAAGTCATAGACGGCTGAGATTCCAACTATACACACCTCACATCTTTGATATCGACGGTTGGAAAACCATATCACAATCTGCTGATCGACGGTTGTCATTCCAACTTGGAGCTAAAACATAAGTTTCAATCTTCACCGTTCCCATTTGTTGACATCAACGGTCCAGTTTCCAACCTCGACGAATTTAGCCAATGACCCTGATTGTAATCTTGTCCGTTCGTGTGTATTTAAATCGACGGAAATCCTTTCTCTTACTACCACACTCAGACAGTCCGGGTAAACTCACGCAAAAACCCAACAGTAAAATTCAGTAGATACGAAGTCAGAACACTGCAGCGAGTCATTTGACAAGGCAAGGTATCTACCGTATCACCAGCCACTGAGTCGACGCCAAGACGGAATAGTTTACAGACTGAGATTTTACTTCTGACAAAGTACAATGTGTCTAGTTTATTATGGGGTATTGTCTGGGTGAGAGGTGGCTATAAAACTCCCCTTGTACAGCACATCTACAACGCTTCGACTTCAACTTTACTTTGTTGCTGGCACCGAGGAAGGTACTTCAAAATTGATTACGACTTCCCCCCCAGAACGATTTTTGGGATGTCCGAGTAAATGTGTGTCTGTGGGTCGTAGAAGGTGAGACACACGATTCTTCACGGAAGGAGATGAGCCTCTGTTAGCGTTGTTGGTAAAGCCAGGATCTCAAGTAGTTCAATTGTTTTGCAGTTGGGGAGGGGAGCTTGGCTGTGATTGGTTAGCGATGTGGACAGTTTGACGAGGGGTGGAGCGAGAGGTGCGAACTAAAGACAAATCGCAAGTTCAGTCCGAACCAGGGTGGCTCGGAATCTGGTTCGGTGATGAAGCTCCAACACCAGCAATATCTCGTCACTCCGAAACAATCTCATGTACTAGCAATTTGTTTTGCATTTGCTCCAGGGGCAAAAACGTGGGTGTGTCGCACACTCACTTTCCTAACCAACCAGTTATTTCGCCCACAAAAATAGGGTAACGAGAGGTGCAAGTATTTTGCAATTAAAGGGCAATTCTCGAACTTGAGATCCTGGCTTCGAGGCCCAAATTACGGAGCGCGCAGGGCAGGATTACTAATCTTGCACAATTAGCGTCTTTTGTTGCGTCTCTTGGCGAAATTTCGGTTATTGTAGGTGCGAAACATTCTGATTGGTCGAGGCAAACTCACTGCAGAACTTCAAGTTTCTCAACTCTGCAATTTGGGACTCTCAGTCCCCAACGGCACAGCGCCCCCTGAAGTTTGCTGTCTCAGCGCGACCAAAACATCTGCAGCGAAATCATACAAGCCACCCTCCCAACACCTCCCTCGACTCTGCGTTCACCACCCCTACCCTCGAGGACTCAACCTTGCGCAGGATTAGTAGTCTTGTGCAACTTGGGCCTCGAGCTTTAAGGAATGTCCATGTAGCAGCTCTGAAATATTCGCTTGTGGTTGTCCGTTCCAGTCCAGGCCAGGACCCTAAGCACCTCGTTCAAGAGAGTTTACAACAACCCTTTTCATATCAATCAACCTATTCTCCGTTCCACAACCACTACAGGTCTTTGTACGTTAATAATCTCAACGGCTCTATCCCATCTGCCCTCGGCTCACTGACAAATCTGGAGTCCTTGTAAGTCACTCCCCTTTTCTGCCATCCCCTTGTACGCTCTTCCCTTATCTTCCACCCCTTCCTTTCTCTAGACACCTTGTAAGCCCTCCCCACTCTTCTCGGTCTCTTATTTGTGATTCTCTTTGTTTCGGCTGCAATAAAGGTGCATCTTCTACGCTTACTCTCTTCACCTCTCCTCTCCTCTCCTCTCCACTTCTCTACTCTCCTCTCCCCTCCTTGTTTCTCCTCTCCTCTCCTCACCTCTCTTTTCCTCTCCCCTCCTCTTTTAATCTCCTCTCCTCTCCTCTCCTCTCCTCTCCTCTCCTCTCCTCTCCTCTCCTCTTTGTATCTTTACCCTTCCCTAGACTTCGCTGGTCTTTCTTCAAATCAGTTGCTGTTCTTATGGCTCATCCTTTCCCTTCTCGCCTCCTCAATCTCTTCTCAATATTGTAAAGAAACAATTGTAGTGCTCTGTCTGTTGCTCTATCGATTATATTATGGATCTGTTGCTGTCTGTGCATGATGCTTCATCTCAGAGACCTCTCTTACAACCAGCTTTCAGGCAGCATCCCTGATAGCTTGGGGGGGCTCCGCGAACTGAAGTCCCTGTGAGCAGCACGCGCATCGTCAGAGAATGCCAGCGATGTCATGTGTTGAATTGTGCTTCAAATTGCTAATCCATGAAGCCTACCAAGCTGCATCCCGCCAACGGACGGCCTTGTCGCCGCTCTTCCCCCTTCCCTGTGCGCCCGGCTCCTCTACTGGTTTAACCTCCTCTCCCACCTTGTGACCCATCCACATCCGCTTCCGCTTCCACTTCTCTCCCATTCTAAATCCCCTATCACGCACGCATTGCCCTCACGTACATACTCAAGCTCGTTGTCCTCCTCCTCCTCCTCCTCCTCCTCCTCCTCCTCCTCCTCCTCCTCCTCCTCCTCCTCCTCCTCCTCCTCCTCCTCCTCCTCCTCCTCCTGCTCCTCCTCCTCCTCCTCCTCCTCCTCCTCCTCCTCCTCCTCTGTGCTTGCCCATGTGAAAGCAGGCGTCTGCATCGCACCAATCTCTCAGGGACCATCCCACCATCCATTGGAGGCCTTCTCTACTTGCAAAACTTGTACGCTTTTATAGCACGGCATGTTTGCTTCCCCATCCCTTTGGGACCCCCCACCATCCATTGTAACCCTTCTCTGTTTTGAGGGTACACGTCCATATTGCGTGGCTTGGATTGTGTCTGGGGTCGATACTGTGTCTGCATACTGCGACTGTGCCTGGACTCGATCGATTCCCATCTAGCCAAACATTGCCTATCAGCATATCAAAACAATCGAGAGCCACGGCTCGCCACCCCTCTCTCCATGGCAGCACCACCAAGGACACCAACCTCACATGTCCGGACAACTACACCAGCTGTGGTCAGAAGCAGAACCCTTGGACTGCCTTTTGCCGCAAGTGCCCTTTCTTTTGCCAAACCTGCCTCGGGTCAACAGGTGAGTGCAGCATTACTAACTGCGTGAAGAAAGGAAGAACGGAAGACACAGCAGCAAATAAATCCCAATTGATGTTTTGCCTCAGACAAGCCCCCCCATACAAACCAGAGAAACTGGAAGGGGCGCAAAACGATTAAGCAGGTAAACTTTTTGTGCACTTTCCTTTCCCATTTTGCGCCCTTGACCCTTCAGTTGCTTAGCTCAAGCAATCGTGTCACTATGATGGATTTGATGCGCTCCGCATTTTGATTCTGAGTCAAAACGCTAGCGTTTTTACGCCCTTAGCGCCCCCTTTCCGAGGGGTACCCCCAGTTTGACGCTCTGGCAGGCAGGCAAAAAAATCTCGAACAGGGGTACAAAAAAACTTGGAACAGGGGGTTTGGTAAGAGAGGTTTGGGGGGCGGGGGCGGGGGGAGAGGGGAAGGGGAGGGGGGGGGGAAGGGTGGGGCTGGAAATGTAGGACATGTGGGACAGTCAAGGGAAAAAAAAAATCTTGCATACATCGAAATTTGCCTCAAATACATAGCAGATGCATCAACACCCTCATCCACATGGAGTACGTGCCCAAACTATGGTTTGGAGGGGGGGCTTGTTTTGGGGCCTCAAAATGTCGAGTTCAATTTGGCGGGTCGCGTTTTGAGCGCGAAATTTTGGATTTCGATTTTGGTCTACATTTTCTTTTCGAAATCGGGCTGCCCTGAATTTTTTACCAGTCGCGTCAAGCGTCAAAACGGTTGACGCGTCAAGGGTCAAAACGAGGCGTTTTGACTCTGGACGGTTTCAGTTTATGGAGTCAAATCCATCATAGTCGTGTCGAGCTCAGTAGCCTCACATGCTCTTTTGGCTCGCGTTTTTCTAATCTTGAGGCGCCTCACATGGCATTCTGAACTCCTCCTTGGAATTTCTCAACCGCACTGCAACTGTCGGCCCAAGCCTTGCTCGGTTGACCTGACCTCTTCTGACGTTTCTGCTGCTTGTTTCTCTGAACTAAAACCTGCTTCTCAGATTGACGTTTCAGAGCTTGTTTTCCTGCTTGTTTTTCTAAGCTGACTGCCTGGAATTGTTGACCCCACCCCATCCACCAGCACCACCTGCAGCGAACCCCAGCGCCAGCAGCAGCGAGTCAGCCTCAGCAACATCTGGGGGCAGCAGTGGCTTACCGCTGGGGGCCATCATTGGCATTGTTGTTGCTGCCGTGGTGCTGATGATGCTGCTGCTGGCTGCTGTGCTACTCTGCCTCAGGCACAAGCAGCAGCAGAAGACAACAGGTGGGAAGAATTAAATGGTAAGACGTTGACCCGAATGGATTGGTGAAGAAGAATGACAGAAAGTACATGGCAAATTGGGTCTAACGAAGAAATTGAATCTGCCAAGTCCTCTAACTGATAGATATTGGAGATTCTGAGAGATCTCACTTGGGGTTGAGATTCACATATCGTGCACACATAAACTAGTCTAAGCACAAAAGCTACTGCAGAACTAGAAAAACGAATGAATGTATTCAATGTGGTTTTGTTTCTTGTGTATACGCATGTGTGTGTGTGGGCATGGGTGTGTGGGCATAAGCGTGTGTGTGTGTGTGTATGTGTGCCTACGTGCGTGCGTGCGTGCGTGCCGTGCGTGCGTGCCGTGCGTGCGTGCCGTGCGTCCCCTCTAACCCTCACCCTCACCCTCATCCTCACCCTCACCTTTCAACCCCACCCCTCACCCTACCCCCCACGCCACAAGCAGCCTTACACAGCGCCGAGTTTTCTCTCGCGGAGGTTGCAGCAGCCACTGACAACTGGTCCCAGGACAACCAGCTAGGCTCGGGGGCGTTCGGTGACGTGTACAAGGGGGTGTCTCCACGCGATGGTGTCACTGAGTGGGCTGTGAAGCGCGCCAAGCTGATAGACGTGGACTTCCAGCGGGAGGTGGGTGACTTGTTGAAGAAGTGGGTTATGGTGCATGTGTCCACGTCTGTTCTAAACATAAGCATGCACGTGATGGTGCTGTTGAGTGGGCTGCCTGTGAATCGCGCCAAGCTGATAGACGTGGACTTCCAGTGGGAGGTGGGTGCATACGTGTCACACCAAAGAAGTGGTGTAATCGTGCATACGTGTCACACCAAAGAAGTGGTGTAATCGTGCATACGTGTCACACCAAAGAAGTGGTGTAATCGTGCATACGTGTCACACCAAAGAAGTGGTGTAATCGTGCATACGTGTCACACCAAAGAAGTGGTGTAATCGTGCATACGTGTCACACCAAAGAAGTGGTGTAATCGTGCATACGTGTCACACCAAAGAAGTGGTGTAATCGTGCATACGTGTCACACCAAAGAAGTGGTGTAATCGTGCATACGTGTCACACCAAAGAAGTGGTGTAATCGTGCATACGTGTCACACCAAAGAAGTGGTGTAATCGTGCATACGTGTCACACCAAAGAAGTGGTGTAATCGTGCATACGTGTCACACCAAAGAAGTGGTGTAATCGTGCATACGTGTCACACCAAAGAAGTGGTGTAATCGTGCATACGTGTCACACCAAAGAAGTGGTGTAATCGTGCATACGTGTCACACCAAAGAAGTGGTGTAATCGTGCATACGTGTCACACCAAAGAAGTGGTGTAATCGTGCATACGTGTCACACCAAAGAAGTGGTGTAATCGTGCATACGTGTCACACCAAAGAAGTGGTGTAATCGTGCATACGTGTCACACCAAAGAAGTGGTGTAATCGTGCATACGTGTCACACCAAAGAAGTGGTGTAATCGTGCATACGTGTCACACCAAAGAAGTGGTGTAATCGTGCATACGTGTCACACCAAAGAAGTGGTGTAATCGTGCATACGTGTCACACCAAAGAAGTGGTGTAATCGTGCATACGTGTCACACCAAAGAAGTGGTGTAATCGTGCATACGTGTCACACCAAAGAAGTGGTGTAATCGTGCATACGTGTCACACCAAAGAAGTGGTGTAATCGTGCATACGTGTCACACCAAAGAAGTGGTGTAATCGTGCATACGTGTCACACCAAAGAAGTGGTGTAATCGTGCATACGTGTCACACCAAAGAAGTGGTGTAATCGTGCATACGTGTCACACCAAAGAAGTGGTGTAATCGTGCATACGTGTCACACCAAAGAAGTGGTGTAATCGTGCATACGTGTCACACCAAAGAAGTGGTGTAATCGTGCATACGTGTCACACCAAAGAAGTGGTGTAATCGTGCATACGTGTCACACCAAAGAAGTGGTGTAATCGTGCATACGTGTCACACCAAAGAAGTGGTGTAATCGTGCATACGTGTCACACCAAAGAAGTGGTGTAATCGTGCATACGTGTCACACCAAAGAAGTGGTGTAATCGTGCATACGTGTCACACCAAAGAAGTGGTGTAATCGTGCATACGTGTCACACCAAAGAAGTGGTGTAATCGTGCATACGTGTCACACCAAAGAAGTGGTGTAATCGTGCATACGTGTCACACCAAAGAAGTGGTGTAATCGTGCATACGTGTCACACCAAAGAAGTGGTGTAATCGTGCATACGTGTCACACCAAAGAAGTGGTGTAATCGTGCATACGTGTCACACCAAAGAAGTGGTGTAATCGTGCATACGTGTCACACCAAAGAAGTGGTGTAATCGTGCATACGTGTCACACCAAAGAAGTGGTGTAATCGTGCATACGTGTCACACCAAAGAAGTGGTGTAATCGTGCATACGTGTCACACCAAAGAAGTGGTGTAATCGTGCATACGTGTCACACCAAAGAAGTGGTGTAATCGTGCATACGTGTCACACCAAAGAAGTGGTGTAATCGTGCATACGTGTCACACCAAAGAAGTGGTGTAATCGTGCATACGTGTCACACCAAAGAAGTGGTGTAATCGTGCATACGTGTCACACCAAAGAAGTGGTGTAATCGTGCATACGTGTCACACCAAAGAAGTGGTGTAATCGTGCATACGTGTCACACCAAAGAAGTGGTGTAATCGTGCATACGTGTCACACCAAAGAAGTGGTGTAATCGTGCATACGTGTCACACCAAAGAAGTGGTGTAATCGTGCATACGTGTCACACCAAAGAAGTGGTGTAATCGTGCATACGTGTCACACCAAAGAAGTGGTGTAATCGTGCATACGTGTCACACCAAAGAAGTGGTGTAATCGTGCATACGTGTCACACCAAAGAAGTGGTGTAATCGTGCATACGTGTCACACCAAAGAAGTGGTGTAATCGTGCATACGTGTCACACCAAAGAAGTGGTGTAATCGTGCATACGTGTCACACCAAAGAAGTGGTGTAATCGTGCATACGTGTCACACCAAAGAAGTGGTGTAATCGTGCATACGTGTCACACCAAAGAAGTGGTGTAATCGTGCATACGTGTCACACCAAAGAAGTGGTGTAATCGTGCATACGTGTCACACCAAAGAAGTGGTGTAATCGTGCATACGTGTCACACCAAAGAAGTGGTGTAATCGTGCATACGTGTCACACCAAAGAAGTGGTGTAATCGTGCATACGTGTCACACCAAAGAAGTGGTGTAATCGTGCATACGTGTCACACCAAAGAAGTGGTGTAATCGTGCATACGTGTCACACCAAAGAAGTGGTGTAATCGTGCATACGTGTCACACCAAAGAAGTGGTGTAATCGTGCATACGTGTCACACCAAAGAAGTGGTGTAATCGTGCATACGTGTCACACCAAAGAAGTGGTGTAATCGTGCATACGTGTCACACCAAAGAAGTGGTGTAATCGTGCATACGTGTCACACCAAAGAAGTGGTGTAATCGTGCATACGTGTCACACCAAAGAAGTGGTGTAATCGTGCATACGTGTCACACCAAAGAAGTGGTGTAATCGTGCATACGTGTCACACCAAAGAAGTGGTGTAATCGTGCATACGTGTCACACCAAAGAAGTGGTGTAATCGTGCATACGTGTCACACCAAAGAAGTGGTGTAATCGTGCATACGTGTCACACCAAAGAAGTGGTGTAATCGTGCATACGTGTCACACCAAAGAAGTGGTGTAATCGTGCATACGTGTCACACCAAAGAAGTGGTGTAATCGTGCATACGTGTCACACCAAAGAAGTGGTGTAATCGTGCATACGTGTCACACCAAAGAAGTGGTGTAATCGTGCATACGTGTCACACCAAAGAAGTGGTGTAATCGTGCATACGTGTCACACCAAAGAAGTGGTGTAATCGTGCATACGTGTCACACCAAAGAAGTGGTGTAATCGTGCATACGTGTCACACCAAAGAAGTGGTGTAATCGTGCATACGTGTCACACCAAAGAAGTGGTGTAATCGTGCATACGTGTCACACCAAAGAAGTGGTGTAATCGTGCATACGTGTCACACCAAAGAAGTGGTGTAATCGTGCATACGTGTCACACCAAAGAAGTGGTGTAATCGTGCATACGTGTCACACCAAAGAAGTGGTGTAATCGTGCATACGTGTCACACCAAAGAAGTGGTGTAATCGTGCATACGTGTCACACCAAAGAAGTGGTGTAATCGTGCATACGTGTCACACCAAAGAAGTGGTGTAATCGTGCATACGTGTCACACCAAAGAAGTGGTGTAATCGTGCATACGTGTCACACCAAAGAAGTGGTGTAATCGTGCATACGTGTCACACCAAAGAAGTGGTGTAATCGTGCATACGTGTCACACCAAAGAAGTGGTGTAATCGTGCATACGTGTCACACCAAAGAAGTGGTGTAATCGTGCATACGTGTCACACCAAAGAAGTGGTGTAATCGTGCATACGTGTCACACCAAAGAAGTGGTGTAATCGTGCATACGTGTCACACCAAAGAAGTGGTGTAATCGTGCATACGTGTCACACCAAAGAAGTGGTGTAATCGTGCATACGTGTCACACCAAAGAAGTGGTGTAATCGTGCATACGTGTCACACCAAAGAAGTGGTGTAATCGTGCATACGTGTCACACCAAAGAAGTGGTGTAATCGTGCATACGTGTCACACCAAAGAAGTGGTGTAATCGTGCATACGTGTCACACCAAAGAAGTGGTGTAATCGTGCATACGTGTCACACCAAAGAAGTGGTGTAATCGTGCATACGTGTCACACCAAAGAAGTGGTGTAATCGTGCATACGTGTCACACCAAAGAAGTGGTGTAATCGTGCATACGTGTCACACCAAAGAAGTGGTGTAATCGTGCATACGTGTCACACCAAAGAAGTGGTGTAATCGTGCATACGTGTCACACCAAAGAAGTGGTGTAATCGTGCATACGTGTCACACCAAAGAAGTGGTGTAATCGTGCATACGTGTCACACCAAAGAAGTGGTGTAATCGTGCATACGTGTCACACCAAAGAAGTGGTGTAATCGTGCATACGTGTCACACCAAAGAAGTGGTGTAATCGTGCATACGTGTCACACCAAAGAAGTGGTGTAATCGTGCATACGTGTCACACCAAAGAAGTGGTGTAATCGTGCATACGTGTCACACCAAAGAAGTGGTGTAATCGTGCATACGTGTCACACCAAAGAAGTGGTGTAATCGTGCATACGTGTCACACCAAAGAAGTGGTGTAATCGTGCATACGTGTCACACCAAAGAAGTGGTGTAATCGTGCATACGTGTCACACCAAAGAAGTGGTGTAATCGTGCATACGTGTCACACCAAAGAAGTGGTGTAATCGTGCATACGTGTCACACCAAAGAAGTGGTGTAATCGTGCATACGTGTCACACCAAAGAAGTGGTGTAATCGTGCATACGTGTCACACCAAAGAAGTGGTGTAATCGTGCATACGTGTCACACCAAAGAAGTGGTGTAATCGTGCATACGTGTCACACCAAAGAAGTGGTGTAATCGTGCATACGTGTCACACCAAAGAAGTGGTGTAATCGTGCATACGTGTCACACCAAAGAAGTGG